AAAGAGGAACTTCATTGGAGCCCACACCTTCCTCGTAATTTTGTCCCGTTCATATTTTATCGTTCTAACACCAGATCCAAGGCTGCCTTGTGGAGTGGAACTCGCTTATTACCCTAAATAAATAACATAAATTAAAATTTATTTACAGTTCTACTACACTAAAGGACACTAAATAACACTAAAAGTCATATATTATTGTTGTACAATTATAAAAATAGTCAACATGTAACACAAATTATTCAACAACTATATAACAGAGGTATAATAAGCAATTTTCATACAAATTTACTAAACATTAAACTAATTCGGATAAAAAATTCACAAAACAAACACAAAATCATACAATACAATATACAATACTAACAACTAATTGCTCATATATATATATATATATACACACACACACACACACACACTAAAAAAGTCTTTAGAAATACCTATTCTTGAATTTTTTTGAATGGAGTAAAAATGACTCTTTGACAACCGAATCGGGCTATAAGCGAGTTCCACTCCACGAGGCAGCCTTAGATCGGGTGTTAGATCAATAAAATGTGAACGGGACAAGATTTCCGGGAAGGTGTGGACTCCAATGAAATTTTTCTCTTTTAAAAATTGGGGTGGGGAGGGGCGTTTTGGGAAGTTTTGTTGGGGAAGCAGAGGGCTGGTTTACGTAAATGGTATAGGGCATGAATTACATGCGCTATACCTTATTGTCTTTTCACATTCAGGTATAGTGCATGTATTTGATGTGCTATTCTAAGTCTTTGACCACCTTTTCAAACTAAGTCATAGAGCATGAATTACATGCGCTATACCTTAACATAGAAACTTGCCGTTAAGGTATAGCGCGTGAATTTCATACGCTATATATAAAAATGTTCTCAAGTCTTTTTTTCACCTATTTTGGTGTTTTGAGTCCAATTTTGCAACACTTTGGTGCCTACTACAAAGGTGGTTTGGTCATGGAAACTACTAACCCCTTTTCTGCCTTTTATCACCTCTTATTTAACAGTCACATGGTAAAGCATTATAATTATCTTAATGCATGAGATAGGATGTAATGAGTTAATGCCATTTAGGCTGGGAAAGTCGGGAAATTATTCAGAAACTGCAGGACACCTAGTGGTGAATATACATCTTGAGAATATTTTTTCTACTTGTTTACTCATATATTGGTCTTCATTTTGTCCCTTCGCCTAACTGTGGCTATCCCTGACAAATTTGAAACATAAATCTCTTCCTGCTTCCATACTCCCACAAGCACATCGGACATATCCGTTGTGTATGCAAAGTAACCTCATGTTTGGTGATCCAACAGTTCAGATATGTTTCCATTTTTCAAATGCTTGATTGCCTCTCTAAACTTTTAGACATGCCTCGTGACCTTTAACGGTTTAGCCAAATGCCTGTCAGTTTGTGTTCGGATGCATATTCTGTTTCTTTTGGGACCTGTAGGAGTTAACAATTATCCTTCTTTCTCTTTTGGGGCTATGCAATCATCCGACTGATGCATGATCTATATAATTGTGAAATCACAGTGTGTTTTATCTCTTGAATCATATGTAATAGTGTTCTGTTATCAAGAAAGTTGTACAAAATGATTTGTATTACTGATGGTGGTTGTCCCCTGGCTGACCTTTGCCTTCTTGTGATGGTTTATGGTACATACTTGTTCTTTTGTATTCCATCTTACTCATGAAGCATAAAATTTTTCTCCCTCTCCCCTCACCTTTGCCTCATTTTTTTGCAGCTTCATATCAAAGTTCACCTGGAACTCAAAATGAGGATGACCCTTCTAATACCACTGTCAGTACATTTCTTTCTGGCAGAATTTGACATTCAGTTAGCTTGTACTCATATCCAAATGAATTTGGTTGCAGATTTTTGTTGGGAACGTGGATACCAATGTAACAGATGAGCATCTGAGGCAGATTTTTGGACATTATGGACAGTTGCTTCATGTAAAAATACCGGTAGGCAAGCGGTGTGGCTTTGTTCAGTTTGCTGACAGGTACAGTAATATGCCTTCTGAAGATGATCAATCTCAATGCTTGGAGGCTTAACACATGAGCCATCATTGTTATTGCAGAAGTTGTGCTGAGGAAGCTCTACGGTCACTAAATGGAACTCAGCTTGGTGGACAAAGCATCCGTCTTTCCTGGGGTCGTAGTCCTGCAAACAAGCAGCAGGTTATTTAGTAATGCCAATATTCTAATTTCTGGTTTTGGCACTTCTCAGTTGGTACCAATGAACTATGTGTTTCTGGTTTGTGCAGCCTCAGGTTGATCCAAACCAATATGGCGGTTATTATGGGTGTACACCTGGATATGAGGCGTATGGTTATGCTCCACCTACTCAAGATCCAAATCTATATTATGCGGCGGGCTATGCAGGATATGGGAATTACACACAACCTCAACAACAGCAGCAAATGTTGCAGCAGCCTCAGGTTTGATCAACCCGTTGAGCTTATTTATAACTAAAATTAATAACCCATCTCCTTTTTTGAATTAAATGGATGCAACATTCTTTTAGGTTATTAATATCTTTTAGCTGTTGACTGCTGCTTATCTTTTCTCCACGATTTCGTTTCTGGTTTAACTGGGGAACAAAAAGTTGAAATTTAAACTATTAACAGCAACTCATGGAAAATGATGATGTATTCGATACTCATTTCACTTTGTTTTTGCAGTGATCTGCTGGTCGAATGAATTGCTGAGTGCTTCATTGCATGACTACTTACTAGCGTTAAAAGGGGAGCGCAGGGGATTCTCAGTTGAAATCCAGATGTAGTATATTTCACTATCTATGGGTCTTGGAAACTTTTGTAGGCTAGTTCTTGGGGATACAATATATTTCACTACTTTTTTTAGTTTATTGCCTGCTCTTTGTTTTTTTATGTTTCATATCGCACTTTTGTTTCTTAGATATGAGATCTACATATACTTGAAGACCTTGGAGAGGTAGAGGGCATGTCTTTATACATGTGCTTGTTTGCTATTCTGACAATGATTAAAACTTCATTTTGGCAGACGGTGGTTAATGGTTTCTTTGATAATTGCATGCATAATAATCCATTTGTGCGATTCGTTCTCCGTTGTATTCAGATGAGAAGCTCACTAGGCATCGTTTTAAGATCCTAACTGACTTGAAGTTTTCTGTCGTCTTTTGGATTCCCTGATGCTATGCTACTCTCCATGGCAGAGATATCTTGTGTGTAAAAACTTTAGATTGGTGCCAATTGCCACCTGATCTGGTTACTTTCCATCATATGGAAGCCTCATGCGATCCTAACAAAAGTAACTTCTAGATACTTATCTCGCTGCTCTGAACATTGAGTATGACTGTTACATTCTTGTCTCACTCCGACTCACCTCTACGTATAAACCAATTATAAAATATTTGGGAAAGCCTCCAAGCTGCAGTAATCTATATTATATTAAAAGCACGAAGGCCTTTAGTGAAATGTCATTCGTCTTTTTTACCCTTTAAAACATAAAGTTCCCATTAAACAATATAGTAATTTAAGTATTGTAAGATTTTTTGGTAAATTTTGGTGAATAATCTTGAATTATTTGCTATTAAACTTTGCCTTGATTATTTGGTTAAATTTTCTTCACGTTTCTTACACAAGGAAACTTAATAAAAAAAATTCCTAATTTTCACTCTCATTGAATGACACTATCTCATTAAATTCGTTAGATTCCTTTTACTCTTTGGAGTATTAAATGAGTTATTATGTTTGCCTAAATTATTTGGTAAAAGTTTTCTTCACGAGTGTTACACAAAAAAAGTTCGGATTTGGGACTTAATTAGATTCCCTTTACATTTGGGACTTGGTAAAAGTTGGGACTTTGGTACACAAGGAAAGTTGGAGTATTAAATGTGCCTTAATATTTGGTAAAACTTTCTTCACGTTGGTTACACAAGGAGAGTTTGGACTTGGTTAAAATTCCAGAAGTTTTTATTATTTGATAACTTTTTCTTGTCTTTTTGACCTACACACAATTTACTTTAAATAATTCATTTCATGTATCAAATTGTGTACCATAATACTTCTATAAAAGAAGCTACAATGTCACAATTTAATCGTCAAACTTCGCCCTATTCCAACATTACGATCTCAGGTTTTGTTTCTTTTACTAATATCAATATCTTTTGCTACTTCATATTTTGCAAGCACGTTTGCATGCACCAGTTTTTAGTGTTGCATCAAGTAATTATCTTTAGTGTTGCATCGAGAAATTTTTATTATATAATGTTTTGTTTCATATTTTGGACTTGGCTAATTTCAAATGTCACGTAACTTATAATTTTAATATAGGTTATTGAACAATTGCAATTCATCACAGAAAATCGGTTAGACATTCGATCTAAGTCTTATTACTTAAATATTAGTATTATTTTTCGTTTGTTGTATAATTAATAATANATAATTAATAATACATATTGCTATGCCAACTCAAGTTACTTGTTATATTAAAAGCACGAATGCCCTTAGCGAAATGTCGTTCGTTTTTTTTACCCTTTGAAATTTGATTTCACATTAGACGAAATAATCATTTAATATTTCCTAAT